CCCCAACTAGAGAGACTTCAATACCCCTCTCTCAACCACTAACAAGTAAATGGAAATTCAGTAAGAAAACAGAAGACTTGAACAGCACTATCAACCAACTTTATCTCACATACATTTAAAGAGCAGTCCACCCAATAACAGCAGAAAATATTTTCTTTTTCCCCCAAGAAAGATCATATTGTGGACCATAAAATAAGTCACAAAATTTATAAGGATTCAGATCATACAACAGAATCTAATGGAATAAAATTAGAAATCAAAAGCAGAAAGTTATCTGGAAAATCCCTAAGTATTGGGAAACTAAACAATTCCTAAATAACCCATAGGACAAAGAAGAAATCAAAAGAGAAATTATAAAGTATTTTGAACTGAATGCAAATGAAAATTCAACAAATCAGAATTTGCGGAATTCCGCTAAAGCAGCACTTAAAAAAAAATTAGGTCCTTGAAAGTTACAGTGAACTCCCTACAACCGAAGTAACAGAATAAGTGTTACTTATTCTGGAGTAACAGAATAAGGTGTGCTTTTATGAGTTGATTCAAACATTATATACCAAATACTGGGCCCTGAAAACCAAGCCAACAACACAAGTAAGACTCCCTATGCATATGAGATTTATATTGCGGCAAGGGGTACAGGCAACAGAAATGTAAGCAGATAAGATACTTTCCGATAATAATAAACTACAGTAAGAAAACAAAACAGCAATTTAAAAGAGAAAGGTCCAAGAAGTGCCCTGGGAGGAGACCGGACGTGAACGGAAACCTGAGCGAGGAGCAGGTCGTGCAAAGACGGAGGCCCAGGGAACAGTGCCTCAGTGACGGGGGCACGAGGGGAGGGATGGCAGCGAAGGCAGGACCTAGTCAAGTGAGGCAGGTGCGAGAGGGGCCGGCAGCTCGGGCCAGCGGAACACATGGAGCAGGTGAGGACTGGGATTCGGTTAAAGGCACAGGTCACTTCAGACTGTCAACGTGATAGTCACCAGCCATATGTGGCCAGCACGACAGAAGGATTGAAGTTTTAATTGCATTAAAATTAAATCTAAAAAAACCAAGTACACTGGGAAGAACGGATCAAGCATTTCCAATGAAAATGTAGACTCTGGCTTACAATAGGCTGTAAGGTGCCCAACTGTACAGATTTTAGCACTTAAGCCATATATACAAGGGTCACCCTGTGTTATACACATTCTGATTTTGTAGCATGTAAAATAGCTCAGCTATTATATAGCTGAGATAATATTCTGAATATACAAGGCTAAAATGTATTAAAATTAATTTCGTCCATTTCTTATTTTTTTAATGTGGCTATCAGAAAAATTTTAAATTACATGTGACTGACATACTTCTATTGCACAGCAACTGTCTAGATAAAGGTGGGTCTTGGACATCAACTTGAATCTGGCAATTATTCAGTGGCCTATAAAAAGCCACTGAAGTGGCTAGACTCGGTGGCTTAGCCTGTCATCCCAGCACTTTGGGAGGCCGAGGCGAGTAGACTGCCTGAGTTCGCAGGTTCGAGACCAGTACGGGCAACTTGGTGAGACCTCATCTCTACAATAAATCAAAAATGAGCTGGGCATGGTAGTGCATGCCTATAGTTCCAGCTACTTGGAAGACTGAGCCGGAAGGATCACCTGAGTCCAGCAGGTTGAGGCTGAGGTGGCCATGAGCATGCCACTGCACTCCAGCCTGGGCGACAAAGTTAGACTCCACAAACCAAAAAAAAGAAAGAAAAAAGTCACTGAAGTCTAAAGGGTCCACAGTAGTAGCTTGTTTTTGATTAAGAGAAGTATTGAAACATCTGGAGACATAAAAATAAAATTGCTCTTTAAAAGATGCCTCTTCAAATGATTTCACTGTAGTTCCACAGACTGTATAAATACAAAGCCTCAAACAAGCTTCTAGTTTTCAGTGGGTTGCAAACTATTTAAAAACAGCACAAAAGTTAACTTTTGTATTTATTCCTTTTTCTGACAGTCACAAGTTTCTAGGCCTATACAACATTTCACTTTTCTACAAACCAGGAAAATTTCTAATCCGTATCAAAGAATCACAGACAATGCCGGAACACTACGTAAGTTAACAATTCTGTTTTTTGGAGAGGGCAGATTATCAAAGGCAGCGTCTTCTCGCCCTTCCTCCAACTACGTCCTACAACAGAAAAAGAGAAGCCAGAAGAACTATTTCGCTCAACGTTCTCAATTCTAGGAAATCTTTCCTAGCACCACAAGTGGCCGCTTACTTGCCTCCTCCAGTGCGATTGACCCTCTGTATCCGTAGGCTCTGCGTCTGCGGGTTAAACCAACTGTGGATTGAAAATATTTAAAAACATTAAAAATAACAATATGACAATGAAAAATACAGCATGACAAGTTGCGCCAGGCATTATGCTCCAAAAATGACTTACAGTATACAGGAGGATGTGAGCAGGTGACACGTAAATAATATGCCATTTTATACAAGGGACTTGAGCACCTATGACTTTGGTATCATACGGCAGGAGTCCTGGAACCAATCCCACTTGGATACCAGGGGACGACCATAGTCTAATTTAGGGAGCCACCGTCACCATTCAGCTAGCTGCCCACGACAGAAAGGTGACAGTCCTATTCGGTTGCCACTTTAACTTCACATCATTCAGACTTTTTCCAAGTCCACCTTAATTTATTTCAAGTTGACTTTGTACCTCACTCCATCCTCACCCCCACCTAAGGGTCACACAGGTTAAGCATAGCAGACCTGGGGTAAAGCCAAAGGTCTGTCTCTGTATGACTCTGGACTCTAAATCATCTGACCCACTTTCATGATTTTAACTTCCAAATTGTACCTCTACCTCAGATAGTTCTCAAGATCTCTCAGAATGTAGATCCCCTCACCTGCTAGAAATTCCACCTAAATGTTCTGTAGACATCTCAAGCTCAAAATATCCAAAACCCCCAATTTCTCATCTTCTCTTCCCTATCTGTTCCTTATCTTCTATTACTCAAATGTTGGGTTTTAGACTTCCCAGGCTAGAAACCAGGGATCAGCTTCTCTCTCGATATTCATTAGAAATCATCGTCTTTCCCATTATATCCTAACTTCTCTTTGAATCCTTTCTCTATTCTTCACACCAACAAACCATCATCATCCCATTCTCACCTGAACAGCCAACATCCACTCTTTGTGATGTGACCTACAAAGGTTTTCATGGCGACCACTGCCTGTCTACTTTTCTTGTCTACTTATTGCCGTAAGCTTAGCGATTCAGTCATAAGAAACTGCTTGCAGTTTACTTTTTACAGGTGGCTTCTCACTCTGCCACATAGGCTGGAGTATAGTGGCATGATCATAGCTCACTGCAGCCTCAACTTCCTGGGCTCGAGCGATCCTCCTGCTGCAGCCTCCAGAGCGGCTGGGACTACAGGTGTATGCCACCACACTAGGCTCTACCTGTAGTTTATATATGCACAGGGTGCTTCTTATCCATGTTTCTGTCCATATGCTCTCTCTCTCTGTGCCTATCTTTCCCTCATTCCAATTTCAGAAGCATGTGCAGGTCTTCAGTTTGCACCCATGGGAGAAAAAGTAAATCTAAGTACACAGGTTCCACTGGGTTTAAAACCTAAGAATCAACAACACGAGTCTATCCTGCTGTCTCTAGGAGAGGTTCTCAGGTGTAGGAAGTGACCATCAGAAGGCAGCTCTTCTGTAAAGTTTCCCCCGCGGGGCTACAGGCCAAGAGATGAGCATTCTAGATATTCAGTTTCTTTCAACCACAAGTGCTGATTCCCAATTCTTCTCAACTCTTCAGTGTCTGCTCTTGCACAACCTTCCCAAAAGAGTAGCTGCTGAAATTCTGCTCGATTTAGCACCCTCTGATGAGTCACTTGCCAAGATAAATCTGGGAAAAGGGGGCAAAGCAGCCATGGAGGAGAACTGTAAAATGATGACGTCAATAGGAGCAGGAACTAAGAACGCCGAGGCAAAACTTGTTAAAGAAAATGTTCTCAGCACACAGCACATCAACACGTGGTTCCCTTGGACATCATAACTTGTCACTCAAACCATGACTACCATACAAGGAAGACAGACCAAGTCAACTATCAGGCTCTAGGATACCAGGAACCTACATTCCAAGGAGTATGCCTATGGATTGTGTAATGACACCTTCCACACACTAATTGTTATGAGCGCATCACAAGAACAGAAGCTTCCCTGAGAGCTCGAGGGAAAGGAGACTTCTATCACTGTATCTATGCTAAATAAGAGGCTTAATAAGTAAGTGCTAATCAGAGTTAAAATACGCTAAGCTGTCCTGTTCCCTGTCCTGGTCTGCTCTCTGTATTAAGACGCATTAGGTGCCCTGGGTATGCCCAGAATTCCCTCTGCCAGTTTCTCTCTCACTGTATTTTCCACATTATCGTTCCATGTATCTGCTCTGTGTTCTTCCTCTAGACTGTGACCATCTTGACGACTGGGTCATGTGTTTTTCATCTTTGTATCCCTAACTCAAAACAGTGCTTGGCATTTGTTAGCAACTGGTAAGTCAACCACATGACTGACTAATTTACGCCTCTTTTTACTTGATTAAGACATCAAAAAAATCAAAACTCATGCTATTCTGTTAAAGTAGTTAGCCCATGAACTGTCTGCTATTGGTTTATGATGAGACAGAGCGCGAGCCAGAATGTCGACAAGAAATGCTTCCTTTTGTGAGAGTGTCTTGCTGTGAAGACATGTTGGGCTAAATGCACATGCTCAGTGAAGTGGTCGACTAAATGCTTGCTCCACTCTGATCCAAGCACTCAAAAGTTGGATGAAGACATTTTTACAAAGAAAAGTAAAATGCTGAGAAACGAATGGCTAAAATTCACTTCAGACCCTTCATCTATCTTTATAAGCACACATTTTCACAAACTGGCAAACAGATTGAAAATAAAGGCACCTATTTTCACCAGTAAAAAAAGAAATAAAGACACAGAGTACTTACAAAGTTTCTTAAAAGCCGAGACACATTAAAAAAAAACCTAATAAATTTTTAATTAGAATTTTTTCCTTTTTTTTTTTTTAACAGGACAAGTAACAGATTACATCAAACTTCAGAACTTCTCAAATACCTAGTTATTATACACATTCCCATCTGTCTTGCAGGGAGGGATCTTGGTCGGCTTAACAGTTTCAGGTAAAATAAACTGCATAATCGTATATATTACAATAATAATAAATGTACAATGTTTACATGAAGTATGTTTTAGAAGCAAGAAAAAGATGCATCTGCATTGAAAGGCGACCTTTTAAAATGCCACAACTATTTTTTACATTCACTCTTGCAACAGGTTACAAGATGGGGTCACTAAGCTCAGATAAATCACTGTGATGCACATAAAATACAGAAAGATTGGTTACTTTATATATTATATATATTTATATTTTCACACATTAGCATCTGAGACATAAACTGAGAATTTAAAATGTATTCTCTTCAGATAACAAATCGTATTTTATTCTTCATAAACATGGTGCCCACAAAAGCACATAGGTAAGGCACAGTAGGGCTTTCTGTTACAGAATAGTGTGCATCATGTTTACGTAACCAGAAAACGTGCAGTATCTGTGCAAGTTCATGCTGCAAACCCAACACACGTACAATAAAACGAAAAGGAAACTGAGTTTTCAACAAAATCAAAATTGGTACAATTCCAGCTGTTTCACATGTTCATTTAGACTGACAATGATATAGCAACAGGTTGTTTTTAAAAGGCCAAATGTCAGATTACAAGTAAACTCTGCTCAGCAACTATTTTAATCTGAAATCATAAACATTATGGAAACAAATTAAATACTGAGGCACAAAGCAACGGTCACTCGTGCATTTACTATATTGCAAACTTTCATGACCCAAAATTACAAGTATAATTTGTCAAATACATATTTTGCTGCAACAACGTGCCCTGCTTGAAACCTGACATACAACAGGGGCACTAGCATTTCATTAAATTATAAATAGATTGGGAAAATGACTTAATCCCAATGGTACTATGTCACAGCCCTAGTATTTAAAATAAATACAGTTTTTCACAAAATATTTTTCCACTATCTGCCAATTTCTTCTTTATTGCTCACATAAATTTGAATCCATTACAACTGGTGTCGGAACTTTCACACAAAATCATACCCAGACATTTTTATATAAAACCTATAAAAGATATTTTAAACTTGTATCTAATACTTCCAGGTGTTTGGGCTGTTTGATCTACGTGATAGGACAGCCGTGTGTGTTCGTGTGTGTGTGTGCATGTACACACACACACACACACACACACACCTATATACACATTAGATTATGAATAAAACAGAAAGCTTATTTTACTGCTTTAATGCAGACACCCTCACAAAACAAGACCGCTTTCACCACCACCAGCATTTCTACATATATACAAAAGCCAGTTGAAGTACATGTACAACCACTTACACATATATGCAACCACGAAACCCAAATGACTTTTCCATATTTCAGCTGTAGCAAATGAAGCTCTTACAAGCAACAGAAACCTCAGGTTAAACAGGGAAATTAACAGTTTTACCACATTAGCCTGTAAGGAACTATGCAGGTGACTGTATACGGAAATTCACAACATTGGTTCACAAGAAAATTATGGAAGTACAAGAAGCCTCTTCACCATGCTTTTGTGTAGTTATCCAAACACTTCTTGGTGCAAAAATACAACCACCGTATCTGAAAATGCTTAATAAAGTCAATGTTCCTCATGCAAAACTGTAAATGTGTTGGCGTAACTGAGCTCCAAAAACTGAATGAACACTTACTCTAGCTACTCGGCATTGCTGCCTCACTGCTAAATCCCTTTGGAACCTTAAGATTTCTGGAACGTTCAAACAGAGTTGTATTCATCAATAAAAATATTACATACAAAAAGCATTTAAAAAGGAAGACGAAAAGCCATACAGGAATTTTCCTATTGTCAGTAACAGTCTTAGGAGAGGAAGAAAAGCTTTTCAGGAAGCTCCTTGAGAGTTGGCTAGGCCAGTCCGCAGACGAAGGTGAGACATAGAGTTCATATGCTTATTTGATGGCTTCAAGGGGCTGTTGCAAGTAAGAGCTTGGGGAAAGCGATGGTGGTATCTATCTAGTCGTAAATATTTTACTGTAACCAATTTCCCTGTTGTAAGATAAAAATAATATTTTAGACCTGTAAAAGTGTTTAATAGTTGAAGAAAACTAACTGTGGCCAAAGGCACAGAAACATAAAACATAAACAAAACCATCTAAAATCGTTACTCAAAAAACACTAACTTAAAATTCTTTACTTTACAAGCCAGTGTAGCTTAACACTAAACCATAATTATCCCTTCTAAATGTCTGTGGTACTCAAATCTCTTACCATCGAACCAAGAGCCATGCAATGCCTTGAAAGCCTTTCCAGCATATTCTGGAGACAGACATTTAACATACACACAACCCTGTGATGTTAAAACAGAAAAGAAACAGTCTTAGTTTAATAGCAACAAACCCAAAACATGGAATTCAATACTCAAAGTCACTTTACCTCGCGAGAGTTTTTGTCTACTGCAATGTGAACAATGCCATCATTATCACTGCATTTTTCTAAAATTGCTTCTTGAATTGCCAAATGCCACTGATCCCCTATTTCCCTAAAAATTAATGGAAACAAAAATCAACAACCATACTCCTTCTCAGCAAAAAGTCTTCATGGGCTCTCCCAGCACACACCCCCCCGTTCGGGCAGGAGGAGTCGAAAGCCACATGTGATTAAAATCAGCAGTAACTAAGTGCCAGCAGCGGTGACCAGGTAGACCAAGAGATCTGAGCATTCAGATGGCTCCATCCTCCTCCCGCCTTCCAGTGGAGAAGTGCAGGGAGCCAGGCCAGGGAGGGCTCAGTCCTCCGCTGCAGAACAAACGGGCCGAGCCATGTTAGGGTCACGATCCCATGTGCTTGCCATTATGTCTCTTTTTCCTTTTAATGTCAATGATATTTTCAAATTTCTAGACTTAAAGAAAATTCTTAGCAGCTGCTATTTTCTGAGCTTCTTTTTGTCAAAATAATGATACACAGAGGCAGGAGAATAGCTTGAGGCCAGGAGCTTCAGACCAGTCTGGGCAAGAGTGAGACCCCCACATCTCAAAAAAAAAAAAAAAAAAAAAAGCCAGGCACAGTAGTGGTACCTGTAGCCCCAAGCTACTCTGGAGGCTGAGGCAGGAGGCTCACTCGCTTGACCCCAGGAGTTCAAAGCTGCAGTAAAGTATGATCATACCACTGCACTCCAGCCTGGGCAATAGAGCAAGACCCTGTCTCTTAAAACAAAAAGACACAGGAATAACATTTTGCACGGTCCCTTTGCTATCATGACATTTTTCTGAAACAATAATGGACACTGGTCCTACTTGTGAGACATGGGTAGTGGCAGAGGAGAAAGGGGCCTCACTTTACATCACAAAACTTCATCTTAGAGACTAAAGGACTGGACTAGCACTGCCTTCCTGATTCCTAAGGCACAAGGCAAGACTCCTGGCAGCAGGATCACCACGCTGCTAACAACTCCTACTCCACAGAATGCGGGGGTGTGGGGTGTGGGGTGTGTGTGTGTGTGTGTGTGTGTGTGTGTGTACTGACGTGCTACCTCACATTCCAACTGTGCTATCACTTATTTGGAATTTCCATCAATGACTTTGTATTAATATTTCATATCGATAATTTTTTAAAATAAGTGAGTTATTAGACATAATTTAGAGATATTTTATATGTAATTTCCGCTGTCAGAATTTAAAAAAAATAGGGTTTGATGTGTCATATCACTAGATAATATGCAGTGACCCCTTGAGTGTTAATCCTAACACTGCTACAGCTTATATGTGAAATATTATGGACACTAAGGCAGGAACTTTTGACTGTGCTATTCTCCGGATGCATGAGTTGCTATAATAATGCTGTCTGAAAAGTTCCTTAAATGTTACACTGATAAGTAGAGACAGGATTTGTAGAGGTGTGAACATCTTCGCAGGGAACTTTTTACAGAGATGAGAAAAATTTTAAAAGCAGCTATTTTTATCTAAAATATCTACTGAGGGAAAAATGCTGACAGTCACATATAGTATGACTTACATATTTGATAAAGAGTACTGTTTATCATTGCATGTCATTAATTTGTCTCAAGCATTCATCTGCTATGAGGATTCATAGTGAATACAAAGATTCACAAAAGTCTTACAAATCTTTATGTATCAGTGTCTTTGGCCGAACCTTTGCTTGGAATTTTCAAAAGAGAAGAGAAAAACATAACATTTCTGTAGTTAGCAGATTCAGAAGTAAAACAGATTTTTCATCTCAGACACAGCATTATATCATGTATTTTTCAGCCAAATATGCCAAAAAAGTTACATGTACCCCGATCATAATACTTACATAATTGGATCAAACATATTTCGAATCTTTAGACACGGTGTCAAACTATTTGGTGGTGAATTTCTTCTGTCTAAATGAAATGCTACAAAAAACAAATTAGTTTTACTGTTTGCCATTGTTCCATTTGGTCCATTCATTAAAATGTTCATTCATCCAGTTCATTAAAAAAATATTCATGGTGCATGCTTTTATTATGAGCCAGACCCCTGGTTAGATGTTTAGGTGAATACAGCACACAGTGATTGCTGTCAGGTTTATAGCTGAGTGGGAGAGAGAAACGATAAACATCGTGACCCAAGGAATTACAAATGTGCTAAGTCCTGAGAAAGGAGAGTACAGAAAGCTGTAAAAGTAACTTAACCTACTCCAGAAGCATCAGTTAGACTTCCCTGAGGAAGGAAAATGTATGCTGGGAACTGAAGAACACAAATGAGCAGGGTAGGGTGAAGAGAAGGGCCAAGGAAATTTCAAGCAGAGGCCAGCTCCTGAGGCAGGAGGAGCTGGTCATCTTCAAGCACCTAAAAGCCAGCCATGAGGTTGGAGTGGAAAGGACAGGAAAAGGTAAGCCTAAAGGAGATGTCAACTTATTCGGGATCATGGAGGCCACATTAAAGTATCTGGACACTGTCATAAGAGTAATGGGAAGCTACGTAAATGTTCTAAGGAGAAAAATAATATGATGAGATCTTTTAAAACTACATATTTTAAAAATAGATGGTTACGTGGAAACTCAATTAGGGAGAAGTAAAAGTGAATGCAAGGAGACCAGCTGGAAGGCCACTGCAGCTGTCTCAAAAGGAGATGATGTGATGTGGGTGCAGATGGGAGGGAAGAATCAGGGCCTATTATGAACCAGATCTGACATGACCTATTCAAAGACTGGACAAGGGGGCCAAGGGAGAGGCTGAGGATGAATCCTAGGTTGATGGCAGAACCCAGCCGAGGAAGGGTATTCACTATCTGGACTAGGAACACCAGGGAGGTCAGTTTGGGAAGAGTGCACATTGAGTTGGGCACATGTTGAATTTGTGGTGCCCATCTTCTAGAAGAGAAGTGTGCAGCTGGATACAAACACCTGAAAACTAGAACAGAAGACTCGGTTCAAAATATAAACTTGGGAGTTATCAACATACATGTAGGAAAGAGATCATCTGGAGAAAGAGGGTAGAAAGAGAAGAAAGATGGCCTTGAGATGACACTTCAACACTCAGAGGTCCAAAAAAGAGGAAAATCCAGAAGAGAAGACTGAAGAAAAGGTCATGGGTAGGACACAAGCCAGAAGGAAGTGACATCACCAAATCCAAAATAACAAAGTTTCAAGGAGGGCTCAACTGTCAAATACCATTAACAAGTAAACTAAAATAAGGAATTTTCACAAGGCCCTTCCACATACATTTTTTTAGACGATATGGCTTACTGTGAGTATAATCTTTGGCAGCACATAAGCATCATTTTTATGACAAGTTTAACGAAGCCTATTATTATTATTATTATTATTATTTTGAGTTGGAGTCTCACTCTGGCGCCCAGACTTGAGTGCAGTGGCCGCTCCCAGCCACCGCAGTCTCGACCTGCTGGGCTCCAGCGATCCTTCCGCCTTAGCCTTCCAAGTAGCTGGAATTACAGGCATGCGCTACCATGCCCGGCTGATTTTTTGATTTATTGTAGAGATGAGGTCTTGCTGCCCAGGCGGGTCTCGAACCCGCGGGCTCAGGCAATCCACTCACCTCAGCCTCCCAAAGGTGCGGGATTACAGGCTGAGCCACCGAGCCCAGCAGAAGCCTATTATTAAAGCTGCTTGAAGGTAAAAATTAATCGGAGGAAAGGGGAGTGACTGAATTTCTTACTGCAATTCTAAAACGATTTATTTACCTTTTTCATAAAGACTATACAGGGGGTGCCTCAAAAATGTATACACATTTTAAGTGTAGCATTCACTCAAAAGATGGCATTAATCAAATGAATGCTAGTGTCACCATGCGACAGGAAGAACAAATAAAATGGTGGAAGCATGGCTGGGCGAGTGTCATACTACACATTGTTACTGTAATTCAATTCAACTTCGAAAAGTAATACACAGATCTCATCTCTTAAAATGTATATCCTTTTTTTGGCACTCCCTGTATTTAGTAAACATAGATAAACACACTTTTGTAGGAAAAAGAATTTCCCATTTACAATTTTCTGATAATTGTTTTCTGCTTTCCTGTGTAGTGGAGTTTGGGTACAAAAGGCAGCCCATCTTCAAAACTCCCAACATACTCACACTTGTATTTGAAACTAATTCAGACATTAAGAGAAATGTGAGCCGGGCTTGGTGGCTCAGCCTATAATCCCGCGCCTATGGGAGGCTGAGGTGAGTGAATTGCCCAAGCCCGTGGGTTCGAGACAAGCCTGGGCAGGCAAGACCTCATCTCTACAATAAAATCAAAAATTAGCTGGACGTGGTAGCGCGTGCCTGTAATTCTGGCTACTTGGAAGGCTGAGGTGGAAGGATCGCTGGAGCCCAGTTGATTGAGGCTGCAGTGGCCAGGAGCAGCCACTGCACTCCAGTCTGGGCGACAGAGTGAGACT